TATGTGAATGGCTTGAATTTCTCCACAAATCCCTGCCACAGCCAGTCAAAAACATGGCTCAAGACAGGATCCCATAGAGTTAATTTGCCACATAGTATGAGTGCTCTGGCTAAAGGCCCATTGTTGGGGCAGGGAGGGGCCTCAGGGAATATCTTTGTTTTCCAGGCCTGCAGCCACTAGTCATGGGGTTTCCTTTATAGGGATTTCCCCAGAATGTGACCATTTCATCACATTGGCCCTCTCTTCAGCTGTGGAACCCCTCTCTCTCCCTCTGGGATAGAAGTTGGAAGAATTTTGTCTACAGCAGAGCAGACTGGCATGGAGCTGTGATAGGGCAGGGGAAAGATAGATTAAGCCTGGGGACATGCACAAGTATTCCTTCTTATGATCATTTGAGGGCCGGCTTCCATAGAGAAGAATGGGAAATGGGAAAGAAGGGGACTGGACAAACTTTCCCCATAAGGGCTTTGGGTTTAGCATTGGCAGTGGGCAGTGAATTAAGCCAAGGCATCTCCTTCCCTTGAGAGTGCAAGGTCAGGATCTCACAGAAACCTGAGCCGGCATAGCTTAGTGGTTTTAAACACAGGCCCTGGAGCCAGACTGCCAGACTGCCTGGGTCCAAATCCTGTATCTAACACTTGCTAGCTTTGTGACCTAATGAGCTTGCTTAATTTTTATGTGGCTCTTTTTTCCCCTTTGCGAGAAATGGGAAGAAGAGGAGTACCTACCTCATAGATTTATTGTAAGGATTAAGGTGCTTAATAAATGCAAAGCACTAAAGGGAGCCTAACAAATACTAACTAAATGAGTGTTTCTTAATAAAATAGATAAAAAAACATGGTGGGAAGGTGGTTAATTTAATAAATGATTACTGTATGCCTACTATGTTCCAGGTACTGTGTTATCTAAGGTTCAGTGTGAGAATGGCTGGCTTTGAAAACAGGCAAATCTGAATTCTGCTTCTAGCTTTACCTTTGGCTATGACCTGGTTGGCCTTTATACTTAACCTCTTGAAGCCTCTGTTCCTGCACATTTAATATAGGGATAGTAGCAAGGAGTGTTAGGAATAAATGAGGTGGTGTCTGTAAGTGTGACATATAGAAAGAGGCTCACCTAAGTGGAAATATATGACTCTGTGGACCTAGAAGACAAATCTACCAAAAATTAAGCCTGACATTTTAGTTAAAACTCAATTGTAAAATAACATGTCACTTGTATGAGTAAAATCCAAAAAATTTGAATAGCCAAGAGCTTGTATGAAATAAAGAGCTGTGGGTTTTAGTTGACCACAAGTTTTCTATGAGCCAACAATAGGATCTGGCTTTCTATGGACTCATATAATTTTAGATGGCATTAATAGAAATGGTGAGTTGAGATCCCAGAAAATAATCATTTCTCTGTCCTCTGTGCTGGTCAGATAACTGCAGATGTATAGGACTATATACTGCTTATAGTGTTTCTGGATTGACAATAACAAGCTCACTGACAAACTGTCTAGAAGTGATGACCTGGATTGGGAGGCATTGGACAACTCTTTTTTGAGGATACAATTAAAATAATTCAGGGATGGAAACACTAAGCTAATATTTGAAACAGCTCTTTTTTCAATTAGAAATGTTTACAGAGCACACCCCACACCCAATCTGTCAGCAAATCCTGTTGATCCTTTCCTCAAATTATTTCGATAATCTAGCCATTTTTCATTGCTGCTTGTGTTACCATCCTGGCCTAACTCAGCCTCTCTTGCTGGAATTGTTGCAATAGCCTCCCAGCAGATCCTTCTGTGCCCCACCCAGTCTGCTCTGTCTGGAGGAAGCTGGATGGCTCTATTTAAGTATGACTCTAGAAGCTTCCTATTTCATTCAGCAGGTTAAAACAAAGTCCTTAAAACACTTCCATGGTCTTTCCTGAATCAGTTTCCATCACCTCTCAGGCTCCATCTCCTCCTCCTCTCCTCCTGGTTTACTTTGCTCTAGTCCTATTAGAGCAGTTCCACAAACCAGCAAGTTGTTCTTCTGTCTCAGGGCTTTTGCATCTGCTGTTAACTCTGACTAGAGTCCAAGTTGCCCAGATAGCTGCACGACTTTCTCCTTCACACCCTTTAAATCATTACTCAAATGTCACCTTCTCAACCATCCTTTTAAAAGGTCAACAATTTCCTCCACAAAATAGATCCCTTTATGTCCTTTCTCTGCTTTCTTTTTCATGATCAATTTCTTACCATGTAATATTCCATATAATTTATTACCAATGATATTAATGATCTATTTCTCATACTAGAAGGGCAGAGATTGTTGTTTGTTTCTCTCACTACCACATTCAGTGTCCACAACTGTCTCTGCCATACAGAAGGAAGCCAGTAAATATTGCAGAATAAGTTGATATATAAAATGTATACAAAGTGTTGCTCTGGGTGAATCTGGCGAAGTGGGGAAGGCATGAAGTTTGCCCTTGTGGAACTTGGATCATCTAGAGTTGACAAGATAAATACATTTGCAAATCAGTGCTGGCCACTTTCAGATAGTACCCCTGAGTGAGATCTAATGGACTCAAGGAAAACAACCTTCATTTTCCAAACTTTCTAGGACCACTATGTATAAGAAGTATGTTTGACCTGGGCTGTAATTTGAGTCAGAATTAGAGCCAGTGACTATGGGGGGATACGTGCAAGCAGATATGGGACCACTAGAAGAATCTGAGATTTTTCAAGTTATCTCATGACGTGGTGAGCACCCTGTCCCTGAGTATGCAAGAAGAGACTGTGTGTCTACCTGTCACCTTTGCTACAGAGGAGATTCTGCACTGAATGGCAGATTGCACTACACTGCTTCCACAAATTTCTGCATCTCTGAGATGCTGGAGCCGAAGGTATGTGAACTCAAGGATCAGGAGGAGTTTACATTCATTTTCTAAAATTTGAGAGCAGTCTTCGGCCTTTCTTTTTGGAGTCCCCCAGACAAATTCTCTTCTCAAATTTTCTACCCTAATTGAGATTCTGTTTTCCAGAAATTACCTGATGCTAGGCTGATGATTAGAGACCAGCCAGGGGTAAAGGGACTGATTCCCATGACAACCAGTTTGAAAAAACATACCATGTGGAGAATTGTCAGCAACAAGCTATGTTGGAATTATAAATAGATATTTAATTCATTGAGATAGTTGTGACGACTTTTGCATTATAAAGAGACATTTAACTCATCTGGCAGACAGTACAAAAGTTAAATCCTGAAGCCACTCTTTGTCTTTAAGTATCTCACAGTTAATTGACAACTATATTTTCCCTTCCAATACACGTAAAATTTAGTTCTCTACGTGAAAGAACAGAATGCGTGTTTTTAGAAAGCCAGCTAATAGTCCAGTGTCACAATATTGCTCACTATTTTTTTTCTCACTGAAAGGTTTATCAGACTTTTCTCTGACTGCATATCTCCATTTGAACCTTTTTGACACAGGAGACCCCAGGTTCAATATCTGGATTTCACAAGAGTACTTTTCCTGTTATGTTTGTCTTTTCTTTGCTCTGCTATTCTAACGTGGCGGCTTCTCTACATTTCAGTCCTTGGCTCTCTGATCTTTTCTTCCCACTTCTCTTTTTCTTGTTGAACAGCTAGAGCACTCGAGTGATCACTTGCTAACTTGCACTGCCCTATCTCTAGCCTTGAGAGTATACACTTTGAAACACCCAAAGATCAGAAAACAAAATCTGACAGGATCAAAGGACTTTTACCTTAAAACCAAGGCCCAGGGATGGGCCTCCTTCCAGTGTTCAAAATGTACAGCTCAACTGAGGATGAGAGATGCAGAGTTTGAGGCCAGAGAATGGTGTTCAGCACAAAGCAACAATTAGCTTTGGCCAAATTCAAATGTAAAAGCATTTTTGAAATGCAATTTTTAGAAACGCTGTAAGAAATTAGTATAAACGACTAATAGAATCTCATCAAATGGAAATCAGAGTGAGACTTTGTACTTCTACATTCCAAAGAGCTTAATACAAATTAGTCTATAATAGTCAGAGTGTTTCTTTCTGTAAGGATTAAGGGAAATGGGGTGCATTTTTTTCATTAACTAGCTGGGTAAATAAGCTTCCTAATGCAAGAATATAGGAGTTACTTTCTAAACTTTATTGTACTCGGGGATAAATAACTCACTGTGGGCTAAACTCTTGCATATTGTTCTGTTGAACAGTGTTTGCTTAGAATTAAATAGTGCTGGGGGGAAGAACATTAGGGTCACCTGAAGAACTCAAGACCTTCTCTAGGACACAAGGAACAATTTTTTTGAGGTCTTAAACAAGGTTCAAGGAAATAGGTAAGCCTCCCTCCCAAATCCAGTGTGTACTGAATTCCCACCCATGGAGCAAAGGTCACCCAGAGAGAAAGGTTAGGGGCTGCTCCTATTTGGGGCCTTGGGAGGGGACACTAGGAGGTCCCTGCTTCAGACCACATAAGTCACCTGTTTACTTGCTCCCTGAGATCTTACCACTGGAGGCCAATGCCTTTGGGAAAAGAAGGCTGTCTCTAAAAAGGGCAAAGTGTGAGTTTTTATAAACTGTTTATATTTTTAAATGAATAAATTTATATACCCTGTGATTGGTAGTATGGGTCACAGAGCACACTTTCCTAGTTTCAGAGTTCTACAGAAGGCCAACCCTGCTGTTTGAAAGCAGCTTGCTAGGTATGAACCTAAAAGTAGCATGGTGAAGACAATTTAACTTCAGTGTTTGTCTTTTTCAGGCTCAACTTGGGCAGAACATTGCCATTCATTCATTCATTCATTCATGGAATAGAAGGGTACTTCATTCAGTGATCATGTCTCAAGCCAAATAGTGAAGTACTATTTTTGAGCCCTCCCTTCTTCTCCACTTCATCTTTGAACTCATTTTTCTGGCCTAGTAGCTACGTGTCCTCTTATTCAACCATGAAAGTCAGCTCCAATACGCCATTTCTGCTAAGTTGCAAGTGTGGGGGTGGTAACAGAACAAAAGTTGACCACTACCATAGTTTTTGCAGTTAAATAGTGAATAGTTTCTTTATTCAGAAGAATATATTTTAATATAATTTCATGCGCCAGGAAATCAGTACAGTGAGGAGTTATGGGGGTGGGGAACTTTGCTTCAGGAAACATCTTGCCCTGGTGGAGCTTGAAACTCCCAGAATCCCCTTTACTCCACTCAGGTTATCAGAGGCCAAGGAGCAGTCGATGGGGCTGACTCACAGGGTGACCAATCGGATTTCTGGGTCTCTGAGGGTAAAAGAGAGGAGAAGAACACTCTGGAAAAGAAGATTATTACACTGGGACTGTTATTTCCATTGAGATCCCCTGGGAGGTTGATGAGGGAGAGTTTGTGGTGGTCCCTGGTTCTCCTTCTTGGTTACACTCTTCAAGCACTATGGTCTGGTCTCTGCCATCTGTGTCTGAGCCCCTGTGTTAGGAAAAGAGAATTAGTAAGAGAGGACTGAGAACCATCAACCTGAAAACAGGTTGCATGGTAGAGCTCAGATGCTAGAGAAATATTTGGACCATTGTTTTCCCAGCAGTATTCGCTTTCCAGAAGGAGGCTCAGATGGGCATTTACCTGGTTCGGAGTCGAGGCCACTTCTTCCACTCTATGGCTAGCACCACCCCCAAGGCTACCACAACCACCACGATCAGGGTACTTCTAACAATGTTACCCACAGTGCACTCTTGAGCAGCAGGCCCTGTGGTGTATAAAAGAGCACAGCCAAAGGCCATATGAAGATTAGTATATGGTTAGTATGTGTTCCTCTTTATCTCATGCTGCCCTCTCACTTTGGCCTCCTGCAGAGTCACATGGGAGCCATGTATGGAGCCTGCAGAAGGGATGGTCACTAGTGGTGCATATGTCAAGGCAGACAGCCTGCCTTTCCTGGGATGGGGAGGACCCTGAAAAAGTCCAGCTCCCTGCCTAAGGTCCCACCTCCTCACCATCTTTAGGAGAAAAATGGCACACTTGAGATCTCCAACTTCAAAAGCCTCTCCTCTTTCCTGATCTGGACAGTCTCCATAAGGGCTGTCCTTGGGGCTCCAAGTATGCCATGCCAGGACCCTTTGTGGAGGGGCTACCCGCTCACCTGCTGCTCCCACAAGCTCCAGGGGATCACTAGGCTCTGACCAGATATCAGGGGAAGCCTGGAGGCGGTAGCTGCAGCTGTAGTTTCCTATGCCTTTTCCTTCTACATTGTTAATGACAAAGTCCCCATCCTCTGAGAACAGCTGAGGTGCTTCCTCTCCATCATGTTCTAGGACAAATTCCACACCGGGCAGGGGTCCTCTACACTGAAGGGTGATGTCCTTCCCCAGCTTGAACACGGTGTTGGGCCAGGCTGACAGAGAGGGTTTAGGGGGCTTATCTGCAACCAACAAAAATAGAGTTAGAAGAGCTCACTCTGAACCTAGCCCTCTACCCCTTATTGCTAACTGCTAAAAGCTACAAAATCTAAGTTGCTCACTGAAGTCTCCAGGGCCTTACCAGTCACCCAGATCTCCAGCGAGTCACTGTGATTTGAAGCTGAAAAGGGAGCAGAGTCCAGATAATAAACACAGCTATAGATGCCAGAATCTTCACCTCTCACCACTGGCATCCAGAAGTCTGCCCTGTACCCGCTTGGCCTCTGGTGCTCTAAGGGTGCTCGAGTCCCTTCCTTCAACAGGACGTAAGTTGAGTCTGGCAGTTCCCCTTGACACTGAAGAGTCATATTTTCTCCAGGGGCCACCATGGGGCCAGGCTGGGCTAACAAGCTGGGTTTGGGGAGTAAGCCTGGAAGAAATGAACCCCAAGTCAGAGAGAAGAGGCCACTTCCCAGGGCATCACCTTTGGAGCCTCTGTTCAGTAAAGAGGGAAGATTACTACTGGCCTTTCTTTGGGCTCTGAAAACATCTCTCATGAACCAGTGAATTCCCTCCTTTCTATACTCGCATACCCACAGCAAAGCACCACTCCCTTACCTGTGACTATGAGTTCCAAGGTGTTGCTGGGCTGTATCTTTACAGGGCTGGTCCAGTCAGGGTGGTAGCAACAGCTGTAATGCCCTGTGCTGGCACCAGTTATGCTGGTGATGGGGAATGCCCCATCATTACTAGCGGACCCCCAGAGCTGCTTTGAAATGGCTTCTCCTTCCTTGTGCAAAATGTACCCTACTCCATGGACTGGCCCCTGGCACCAGAGAGTAACATTCTGCCCCATGGGGACCACAGAACTGGGCTCAGCAAACAGCCATGGCTTGGGAAATGTGTCTAGAAAGAGAACAAAGATAGATAGTGGTGAGTATGGGAGCTTCGCACGACCTGAGTTAACCCTTTAACTTTTTCCTGGACTCAGTTGTTCCCCACCATGGTTTAGCCTGGCCTTCCAGAAAAGATTACCCTTGTTAACCTCTGCTCCAGTTGTCTCCATCCCAGTCCCATGCTTTGTCTGTCCTTACCAGTCACCCAGATCATGAGAGGCATACTGAAATATGAGCCCCGGTTTGACATGGTTGTCTCATAGTAGATGCAGCTGTAGTTCCCAGAGTCCTTTTCTCTGACAGTGTGGAGGAGGAAGTCAGCAGAGTTCCCTGAAGCACTCTGGAACTGTAAGGGAACCTGAGTTCCCTCCTGAAAGAGGGCAAACCTCATGTCCTTCAAAGTCCCTTGGCAGCGCAGGGTCACGTTCTCCCCAGGAAGCACCACAGGACCTGGCTGGGCCAGGAGAGTGGGTTTGGGGAAGAATTCTGGAATTAAAGAGATCACAACATGAGAGAAGTCCAACCACTGCATTCTGCAAACAGCTTTTGTTGTGTCATTAGGAGATACAATATGCGTTTATTGTAGAAAATATGGTAAAAAAAAAAACCCCAGAAAAGACAGTTCTATCAAATCAGAGATAACTTTTGTTTAGGTATTTTCCATTTACTTTTTCTATACATGCTTGTGTCCATGCAGCTATAACTACACAATTTGGACACCACTGTATTCAGTTTGGCAATCTGATATTTTTCACTTAACTTTATATTGTAAACACTTCCTTATGATGTTAAACAGCCTTTGAAAATTATCATTTGTAATGGCTGCAGCTGACATTTCAAGGTCTCCTCCCATCCTCTGAGGGCCATCCAGCCCACCAATCTCTGACAGCCTGGCTAAAGAAAAAGTGGACATTGAACCTAATGCTCAAGGCCAAGCCACAAAAGGATTTCAGAAATAGAGCAACTTGAACTTGGCTGTTGGACTGGGCACCTCCATCTGCCTTACTTCTCTTCTCAGAAGTGAGTTACTTGCCTCCCGCTCTCCTACCTGGCCTTCCTGTAATAATAATGTGAGCAGCTATCCTACAATGGACTGTTTGCCATGAGCCAGGCACCATCCGTAGCACTTTCTCAGTGTCTTTTAGAAGAAGCATTTCTTCCTTTCCCACTGACGGCCCTTCCATCCACTGTGCCAGGGTGTCACCCACCACCACCAGGATTTTCCCATTCCTAACCTGTCACCACAAGTTCCACAGTGTTGCTGGGCTCAGACCAGATATCAAAGTCATAATAGCGGCAGCTGTAGTTCCCTCCATCACCAATGCCCACTGAAATGATGAGAAAGTAAGCTGCATTGGCCCCTGGATTTTCCCAAGAGCGGTCACTGGACGCTATTTCATTGCCATCTTTGTACAGAATAAAGCTCATGTGCTGGTGTGGGGTGGAGCAATTGAAAGTCACTCGACCACCCAGGGGGACCACAGGGCTGGCCCATGTCTTGAAGAAGGGCTTCGGGTACATTTCTAGGAGGCAAACAAAAAACAAATACCAAACACTATAAAAATACACACAGTGCAAAAACAAATTAAGAGAGAAAAAAAGCAAGCAAATACAACAAATACTGGTTCTGGGCAGCTGCTCTGCTTTCTATAGTGTTTTCATTCCAAAAGAGGTAAATTTAAAAATCTTACAGGGACACCATCACCCTTGCCCCTCCTTGCCTCTCGGTGAATGTCCCCTGTCACTGGGGCAGGCAACAGAGGCTAGTGAAAGGAGTGAATTTTCACTGAGACTCTGCTGGTTCCCTGTGCCTCGATTTGCCCATTTGAACAAGAAAGAAGAATGATACCTGCCCCACCTCCCTTGAAGATGTGCACTATAGTTAAATGAAATAATTGATGGGAAAATAATTAGAAAAATTAAATCACCCTCCACCAACCCAAGCTATTAATAACGATTATGGCTATTAATATCATGCAGGCAGAGGCCCTGACACTCCCAGCGCCACGCCTGCCTGCCTCTAAGATTGTACACAGGCTCCTAGGACCAGCAGCAAAGTTTGCCTTGGGAAGAAGAGTGTGGGACAGATGCTTTGCCTCCATCTCCTCCCTCTCAGACCCCTTCGCTTTCAGCTCTACCTTTTATGACAAGCTCTAGGGGCTCGCTGGGCTCAGACCACTTGAAGGGGAGCGTGGCCGTGTGTGTGCGGCAGCTGTAATTGCCTTCGTCCTTATCCTCCATTCTTCGGATTGTAAAGAAGGCTTCTCTTCCAACGGCACCAAGTTGCTGGACAGGTTCCTGCTCTCCCTCCTTGTACAGCGCAAACTCCATGCCTGCCAGCCATCCTTTGCACCGGATTTGCAGTTCCTGGCCCCAGACTGGGGGAGAAGCCGAAATGACAGGTTTGGGAAGGATGTCTGGAAAACAAAATGGGGTGGAAAAGGAGTCAAAAGTTTGGAGGCGCCCAGATGGCACACTCAGATTCACTTTCTCAGCAACACAAATAAATAAAAACAACAACAACAAAATAAATCCATCCTAGGCTACCCCTGGGCTCTTGCTATCAGTCTCCTCTCACTCCCTTTCCCGCCCCTCCCCCATCCCAGGGCCCCTCCGGAGGACCCTCCACCTTTTCTTACCTGTCCCCACCAGCTCAAGTGCTTCACTGGGCTCCGAAACAGCCATCTCCTCCCATGAATGACAGTGGTAGCTCCCTGTGTGACTCTGGCTCAGGGCACCAAGGGGGAAGGCAGCCCGGACCTGCTCTGAGGCTGGGCGAGTTGCGATCCACCCCGTCCCGTCCTTCAGCAACACAAACTCCTTCGTAGAGCCAGAGGGGCTTCTGCACCACAGGGTTAAGTTCTTCCACGGGGCCAGAGGGAAGTTTGTCTCTGCCCACAGCTCAGGCTTGGGGGTTGGCATGATTATTTCTAGAAACAGCAGAGTTAATGAAGCCATCCTCTCTCCTCTTTCCCCCTCCTTTCCTTGACCTTGAACCCCTACCCAGATCACACTGCCTCCTTCCCCTTTCAACTCAAATTCCGACCTGCTCCTTTTCTTCCCTTCCTTCCTCCCTCCCTCCCTTCCCTTCCCTTCTCCTTCCTTCCTTCCTTCCTTCCTTCCTTCCTTCCTTCCTTCCTTCCTTCCTTTCTCAGGTGCTGGGGAAAGAGGAAGCCAATGTTTCAGCTGAGCCCCAGAAAAGTGCAGAAAGCTTGGGGGAAATCTTGCAGGCAGAAAGGCACAATTGAAGGCTAAATTTTGTCAGCAGCTTTAGCAAGTGCCCCTTCTTGGCTGTCCTTCCCTCCCAACCAGTCACTCCCTGGCCACTGACACTGACACTGTAGTTATTTCAGATCTCCAGAGAGGAATGTCCCAGTCTGGAGCAGGGATAACTCACCAGTCTCTTCTGTCAATACCCCGTTGCACAGTCCTGTAAGAGAAAGTGCTGCCAGGGCTCTGCCCCTCCTCCACAGGACTTCACCCAGCCGGCCTGCTGCCCAGGCCCTTTCCCACCCCCTGGTACTCACCACAGCAGAGAAGGGCTGTGACGATGAAGAGCATGGTGACCCTTTGAGCTATTCCCAGCAACCAGGCTTCTCTAGTGAGACCAGAAAAGAGATGAGGGGAGTTGCTGGGTTCAGGGGGAGGGCGGGGAGAAGGGGGCGGCAATTTATGTCATTGGTTTACTCTTTACCCAGTCGGGATTGGGTATTGCCAGGATAGTGGAATATAACCTTTTCTGACATCCATGACTTTTCTTTTTGAGGGCCTAACCACCTACAAAATCTCTTGCTCTTTCCTGACCCACATGCCCCCCGCAACCCCCCTCCCCAGCCCATATCATATGTCAGCTCCCCTTGGCCCCTGATTAGGGTGTTGCTGGAATCCAGATGTCAGATGGGAAAATGTTTTTGTATCTGCAGTTCTCAGAAGCCCTGGAGCTCAATCTGATCGGTAGCTCTGGGAGTGGGGGTGGAGGGAGCAACCTTGAGTGTTTCTCCATCATCAAGTTTAAGTTTGGAAGCAGTTGTTATTATGGTAGCATTGGTCCTCAGACTGACCTGCCTCACCTGCCGTTGTTATGGAAGGGTTGCCTAGGCAGCCATGATGAATTACCAGAAGACTGTCAGTGCTGAGCTAAGCTTGTCAGAGTGGGATCCCCCTCCCTCCACCCCGGAGTAGGACTAGAAATGTACAGCAGGTTTGGCTCTTTCAAGTTAGAGGATATGAAACCAAAATCCATTTGACCACTTTTACTTAGAAAATACTGACCCTTCCCCCACTTCCTGGTCAGAAAAACACTTTTCAAACTGCTTTCTCTGAAACCTGGTTTCTGATCTCATTCTTTGATGCAATGGTCCTGGGACAGGATGGGACACATGAAGTGACATTTTTTTCTGACCCCTGGCTCGGAGGGTAGCTTAATATGTCTAGGACTCAGGGCAGAATCTAGGAAGATCCAGAAATTGATCCCCATTGAAACTTTTTGAAAACTCAAAGGGTGGTAGCTTTTGCAGAAATCTCAGGTGGCTCCCTTCTCCTTGTCCAAGCACTCTGTTTTTCAGATCCCAGTGGAAAACACGGACACACATAATTATAGTCATCATCCATTGTGTATTGAACACCCCCAGACACACAAAATTCTATGATCACACAGAGACATGGAGGGTACAGCCAGAAGCAGGGTGTGAGGGAGAAGTGGGCAAAGCATTCAGGAGGTAAGACCCCATGCCAGGTTAAGACATGTTGTTTTTCTTCTCATTCCCCAGTAGAGTAGCATGAGACAAGCCATAGGGATTAGGGAGAGAGGTGAATCAAAGGAAATGCCAAGAGATTTGGTTCGGCTTGCCATTTTCTGGGTAGAGGAAACAGTCTGACTTCCTGGCTCCATCCATTGCCTTATCAGGTGTCTATGCAGGTTCAGGCTATATTCCCAGGATTCTTTGCACAGGTGGTTGGAGGCCAGAATAGCAGAGAGGCTGGTTTCTAAGGCAACTGGGATAGACCACAAGACTCTCTAGCCCTTGAGAGCTGGGGGTAATCATGAAAAGTGTGGATGGGAGTTGAATATCAACCCGGGAGAGAGAATAACATGGCTTTTTACAAGAGAAAATAGTTTAGATCAAGTTAAAGGGGGAGACTGCAATCGTGCCTGAGGGGCAGGGAGGTTTGGGCACTCTAGGTAGAGGTGGGGTCAGTGAATTCAGTTCGGATTACTTCTCCAGCTCGGAGAATTACACATTTTGCCACACTCTGGCTTGGGTGATGACCCCTCTGTGAGGTGAAAGAGAAACAACTGGGATAAGAAAGTCTTGTCTAAGCCCAGAAAGTATGGGCTATGTAGGGTGTGCCCCTGTAGCTTGTCTCAAGTGTGCATGACTGGTTCCTGAGACCAGGGGAGCCTGGAATAGGGTAGAAAGCAGTGGGCTGGAACAAGACATTTACCTGATTCTGAGTCTCCAACATTTATACCTTATCCACAGCAATACCAACAGCAGGGCAACAAGCTGTATGATTAGGGACAACCTGAAAGCTTCATTCAGAACGTAATTCCAGGTGAGCACACCTGTGGCCAGAGAAGACCAGAAGCAGGGGCTTTGATGAAGACAGAGGTAACTGAATACGTTCACAGTGGGAAGGGGGGCTGGTTACTAACAGTGCTTCTATAGGGTAAGTGAGGCGGAAGTGGCCTTCCTCTTCATGGAGAACAGTAGCCTTGTAAGCATCCTGTTCACTGCCTTTAAGTGATTGTGAGACTACTCCAGGGGAAGGAAAACCAAACCCATGGACTCTGACTTCCAAGCCCCTGACTCCTTTTCCCATATCTTTCTGGCACTGTTCTAGGAATCCCAGGGGTATGGAGGGCCATTACTATGAAAAGTTATCCACTCACCTGCTGGCCCCATTAGCTTCAGAGGCTCACTGTGATGTGACCAGATGTTAGGAAGTGCCTCTGTGCGGTAGCTGCAACTGTAGGTCCCTGTGCTTTTCCCTTCAACATTAGTGATGATGAAGTCTCCATCCACTGAGAATTTGTGGAATGTTGCTCTTTCTTCCCACTCCAGAGAAAATTCAAGTACTGGATGAGATACTCGGCACTGAAGGGTAATGACCTTTCCTCTCTTGAACGCAGTGCTGGGCCAAGCTGCCAGCAAGGGTTTGGGAGGCTTATCTGAAACACATCCAGACACCAGAGTTAGAACTGATCTCGAACTCTACCTTCCCACCTACTACCAAATTTTTCTGAGCTCCCCATTTGGTCTTCTCAATTTGGCTGTACATTAGGAATACTTTTGCCCCTAATTTGGAGCTCTAAGGACCCCTGGTTCCTACCTTCAGTCTGGAAGACTTCACACACATAAGTTTCCCCTGGCCTGAAGAAAAATAAGTTTTCTAGGGTCACGGGGGGGGGGGCATGCTGAGAGGTAGACCTTGAGGAACAATCTTGAGAGAGAAGGTCCTTAACGATTTGGAGAAAGTTCTACACTACTCTACTAGTGTGTTTATTCTTGGCTCATAGCCCCAAGGGAGTGCCAAAGGCCACTAGCTCCTACTTAGAATACTGTAATGATGATAAAAACAAGCAGGTTGGTGATTTTTTTTAAAAAGCCAGTTGGTAGCACTTGCCTACAACCACAAGCTCCACAGTATTGTGTGTTCCCATCCTAATGGAGGTCTTCCAGGTGAGACAATAGTGGTAACTATAGATGCAAGCATCATGGTGGGTCACATTATGGAGAAAGAATGGTTTGTTGTCATTAATGCTGGTGGCACCCAAAAACTGAAGTGGTGTTTCTTCTCCTTTCTTATGGAGTGCAAGTCCCACACCATCCACTGATCCTCGACATCTCAGGCTTACATTCTGACCCATTAGGACCACAGGACTGGGCGGAGCAAGGACCCAGGTCTTGGGGAAAGCATCTAGGACAAGATCCAAAATACACAGGGCTAATGGCCTGATATCTCTCTCTGACAACTTAGGGTCTTTTCCCTCCTCATTCTCCAGGCTACCCTTGGCAAATCCCTGCTTATGGCCAGTTGTACAAATTCTGTTCCTTTCCTGCACCATTAGCCCTGGCTGTATAATTAGGATCTCCAGGGGACCCAGAAGGAGTTTTATATCCTTAGTTCCTAACGTAGGTCCCATAGCATACCCCTCTCTTACCGGTTACCCAGATTTTCAGGATATCACTAAAGAGTGAACCCCTGTATGATCCATCATAGTAAAAACAGAGGTAATGTCCAGAATCATGGATCGTCAAAGTCTGGAAGAAGAAACGTGCCTCGTTTTTTATTGGCTTCTTATGGTAAAAGGACTTGTCCAGGTCTTCAAGCTTCATTAAAGCAAAGGTAATTCCATAGATTGGCCCTTGGCACCTGAGATCCAGGCTTTCTCCAGGTGCCAAGATGGGCCCAGGATATGCTGTTAGAGTTGGTTTGGGGTAGAGTCCTAGAAAGGGAAGAGACCCTGGAGTTAGAGGTAAGGTGATTCTTCTCTATTTTTCTATTTTTTCTGCCCTAGCTTTTGTGGACACAAACTAGTGTGTTGAAGTTTGTCTACCAACCCCATCCTTGGATCTCTGCCTCCTCTAGGATGTAGCCAAGGGTAGGTTTACTTATGCTCCTTTCCTCTCACCAGACTCTACCAGCTTCTCTGAGCTCTGTGTGAATACCTACATCCAGGATCCCCTGTTTCTGCTAGTTCCTAAAATAACAAACCACTTGTAAAACCAAATCTCTGAAAATGACTCCGAGTTCATCTCTGCAGAACATGAATGTTAGTACATATTGCTAAGGAGAGTTTTTTTTAAAAAAAAAACACATTAAACTCACTTCAAACCTGATATCCAACATAAGATTGGAAGGTACTGTTAAAGAGAGTTGGGTCAATAAGTCTGCAACCCAATAGAGTCTCTCCTAATGGGGCCTTACCCTCACTTCTATGGAGCATTCCTCCAAGGTGACTGGACTACAAATGTGAAGTCCCATAGCACTCTTTCTTACCCTCATCCCAGTTATACCATCCACAATAGAAGGGTCAACTCTGTCATGCACTCATAGAACATTTAGGATATGTCAGGCATCACATATGAGTAGGCTCATGAAGGTAAATAAGACACAGTCCCTGTCAGCAAAAAGCTCATGGACTAATAGGGAATACTGGAGATACAGGTGTGTGTTAGTGGAATCTACACTGGAAGAGTGTGTGTACAACAAACATTCATACACACAGTTCAAGCAGGCAGTCCTCTGTTCTTTGATTCTCAATAAAAATCTATACTAATAAAATTAATATCTACCATTTATTGAGAGCTTATATGCCAGGCACTGTACACATATTTAAGCAAATCCTCACAACAACCCTGTTAGGTAGGCATTATCATTATACCAATTTTTCAGGCCAGCAAACTGAGGCATAGAGAGGCGTGACACAATAGGTCAGGCAGATGCTGTTATCTCTTTCTAAGGTGGAAGAAACCAAAACACAGAGAAATGAAGTGACTTGCCCAAGATCACACAGGGAGGCAGAGTCAGAGGTGGAATTAGAACCCAGGATTGCTACTTCTAAGTCCAGGGTACTTTCTGTAGCATGGCTTTCCCCATGTCTATTTTGCTTGATGGAGGGCCTAAACTAAAGATGGCCAATTCCATCTAGAAACATCCAGGCCATGGGCTGGTGGGTTATGGCTGGAGTGTGTGCATGGCATGTGGACTTTCAGGGAAGCCATGGTCTGTGTTTGAAGCTTGGTGGTGCCTTACTAGCTGTATTAATATGGGACAAAGTAATTTATCAAGTCATCTCAGAAACACAAACTATCTCTTTCTTCATCATTTCTTTAGAATCACCACACTAACAGTTCATTTGATTTGCACTCTTAAAAGTAATAATCACAAATAAATACACACTTAAAAATTTAAAAATCAGTTTATAAGACTACATTGGCAGTGCCTGGCACATACTAGGTGCTCAATAAATACTGGTTGAAAGAATGAATGAATGCATGATATTCAATAGATAGAGAACAACAAAGCTGAGATGAGCTGAAGCTGCAAACAGTTGGCTGGGCTCACTCACAAGCCAAGTGATTGGCTCCCATATGTCTGCCTTGCAGCATGTGCAATTCTAATTTGTGCCTCAGCGAAATGTCAAATGACTCTATCTCATGGACTTTGCAGGGTGCAGGAACTGGCTGAGGGAAGTAAAACCATCAACCCTGGTTCAACCAGCCGTGATCCCTGGGAGAATAATTGTCAGATGCCAGCAGCCATGGCCACACCCACCTGCTACAACCAGCTTCAGGGGGTTGCTGGGCTTTGACCACAGAGTGGGGAGCATCTGGATGTTAGTATGGCAGAGGTAAGCCCCTTCCTTCTCAGGTGTCATGTTGTCAATGGAGAATATGGCCACTGTCCCGGTTGGGACTTGGTAATCCACTGGTTCTGCATACCCCTCTTTAAACAGCATGAATACCAAATCCTGCAGCCAGCCATGGCAGAGAGCGTTAACGTTACACCCAGCAAGAGGGGATCTCTCAGCCTGGATCCAGAAGATGGGCTTGGGCCGCTGGCCTGAAAAGAAAGAATGAACTGGAATTGGGTACAACAAAGATAGTGCTGCACAGAGAGCAGTGGACAGGAGCTCTATTTTAGATGAGGCTTCCCCGTATGATCCTTATTTGCTACCTCTTCTTTCCCCATGCCTGCTCCAGAGTCTGTATCCTTGCTGTGCATTCTCTAATACAGAGTAGGTATTTATTTATTAACTGTTGAATGCATGCATGCACACACATATTTGAACAAAATGAATGAATTAAACAAACCCTGTCCTAAGAAGGGAAGTTTGAATCCTAGGAGCTGGGTATTGTTCTTGAATATCTATCTCTATCTTCTTACCTGGTTCTTCCAACTTTAGAATTTTACTGGGCTTTGACCAGCCTGTCTCCTTCCAGTAACAGCATCTATAAAGACCTGTATTGGATTCAGTGAGAACACCTAAGAAGAACGAAGCCTGGAAGGTCTTATAGGAAGGGCAGAACGATGAAATCTGTGTCTTATCCTTCAGCAGCAGGAACTTGCTTGATGTCTGAGAGGGGCTTCTGCACCAAAGTGTGATGTTCTCCCAAGAAGCCTGTGGGTAGTTGGACTCCATCCACAGATCCGGTTGAGACTCCATTGCTGTTATTTCCAAAGACCACAAAGATGTAAGCAGTCCAGCCCCCTCCCTCCCATAACACCCCCCAACATACCTTAAAATTAGCCCCCAACCCAAATCCTTCCTCTTGCCTCTGGAAACAAAAGTGTCTGCTCCTGTAGGTATGGGGCGTCAACCCCATGATATTTATTCAAGGAACCCAAATGTGTTGGGGAATAAAGTGAAAATCTAGCTCCCTTTCCATCTAAGATAGAGCTCATCATGATTCTGTGGTAACCAAGTCACAAAGGGAGAGTCTCTGATTCCCAAGCAGGTGTATCTGGCTTTAGGATTTCCAGGAAGTTATGTCAGGGTTATGCAGGCAGGTCAATGTCTTGGCTCCTTCTGGAAAGAAGGTACCCAAAGGAGTGGAATTCACTTACCGATCAATGTCATACCTAAACTCAGCCTTGAAAAAAACGATTATGGTGAAGGAGAGATCCTACTCTGTCCTCCATCCTTGATACTCCCTTCTTCCTCCCCAAAGTACCCTTTCTCTGGGGTACCTAGGACAGAGTCACTTGCCCCTCACCCTTTCCATGTACTCACGAATAAAAAAGAGCAAGAGAGTGAATTTCCACAGCATGGTGGCTCCCTTTCCTTTTCTCTCCAGGGTCAAAAGGCTTTGCTTCTCAGCAGGTGGTGGAATCTACAAACAGAACTGTTGTTACTCAGGGGACTTGTCCTGCTCCTTAAAGATTGCTAAACTGCACTGGAGGACCCTACATTCCACTGCCTCACAGGCATGCGGGGTATTACAAGGCCACTTGCCATTTCCTCTCCTTACCCCTTTTCCTCACTTCCCCATCCCCCCACCTAGTTTTTGCTGGTATCTAAGATGTCATTTTTGTTGAAATGTCTATTTGTCTCTGGGATCTCAGAGACTGAGAGAGTGACCTACTAGAATCCTGCAAAAACCCCATTAGATAGGTGGTGCAGAGTCACCTTTTTGGATTCTTTCTGCAGATACACGCATGTACATGCTGAGTCCTCAGATAACAGCTAAGGAGCCATTAATGCCATCACCATTTTGTTGATGAGGAAATGAATCTTAGAGTGGAGATGTAATTTTCCCAACATTAAGAGACACTACATATTAAAGCCCAAATTCAAATCCATGCTTAACTCCAAGGCCTATGCTCAAAACCACCACTGAAATTTCCAGAGATGGCCCTTGCCCCCCTCTTCAACCTCCCCTCTCTTTCTCATTTCATCCCTTGGAGACTGTCCCTTGTATGAAATGCTTTAGATTCATATTACCCTCACTCATGTCTTACCCCAAAATCCATAATACTCCCATGGCGCAATTAGGTGCTGGAGAATCAAACTGCTTACACTTTAACATAAGGTATTAATGACTCATTAGCTGCCCATAACTTCTATGAAGTTTTGTTCACTGTCCAAGGAAAATGGAATTGTCTGTAATTTCAGGCAAACTAATAGAAATATTTGGGTTCAAGGAGGCCTTTCTGATTTTCCCAGAATTCACTATTGACTGTAGATCTTTCCTATACAGGCAGCCCCCTGAGTTGTTGTACTTCCTTCTGAACCCAGTAACTTTTCACTAAGGGAAGGTGTGTACTCACTTCACAAACTGAGGCCAATTTTCCTGCACTGAATCTCTACTCTAAGTCAGATGTACTGGCTGGCTTCCAGTGTTTAATCTTAGATCACCAGAGTGGGGTAGAGGCAGCTCTAAAATGGAGAAAGGGGCAGATTTTGCATCTCCAAACTCATCCCAGGACCTCAGCCCTTAACTTGGTTCAGTACTAATGGTGGGCAACATGGAGGAGCAAGAAGAGGGGAGGGGTCATTTTCAAAACATCTGGGCTGTAGAGGGCATAGGACAGCGAGAATTCAAGAAAGCAGGACTCTGCTTAGCATTTCTCCCTTTTCATTGAAGGATGCTCCATTTGGCCTCCTTGAACTTTCCTTATCTGTTAAATGGGGGAATAATACCTACCTAGCAGTGTTGTTTTGGATTAAAGACAAAAAATGTACAGGGTCAGACACATAGTGAGCATTTCATATAAAAAGGTGGGGTTTTTTTTTCTTTACTAAGAGGGCATTCAAGCAGTGTAGGGCCCTAAAGATGTTCTTTCCATCCGCTTTCCTGCAGCACCTCGTCCCCCTCCTCTGAGGGCCAGGCCAAAGCTTGGATGCCACCCTGTTGCTCTATTCCCCTGAGGTGGTCTGGGCCAGGATCGCTGGGGGAGTCAGCTTCTTCTGCCAAGGGAAAGGTTCAGGCTGGGCTTCTACCCAGTAAATGCTCTCTGAGGTTGCATTCTTACCACATGGACCCCCAAATCAGCATGCTTGCCTCCTCAGGGCATGTGTGAAGCAGGAAAACTGGACTTCTCAGCATGGCTGACCACTCCACAGTCACTAAGGGAACTGTACCATATATGTCTAGCCAAAATGAGGAATTGCTCAGGAGATAAGGCAACAGCCCTAAGTTTCAGGTTAATTGGCCACGCCCATTTTTGCCCTTTCACCCCACCCCCGCTCCCAACTTGAGCTGTTTCCCACCCTTAGGCAGCGCCGCAGTGCTTTGGAGGGTGACATGCCCGAAATGTCTAGTGGCTCGCCCCCTGCACAGCTATGAGGGCTCCAGGAATCAAAGAGATTAGGCTCGGAGGGGTGACGGGTACCTGCTCAGCTGAGGGTTTGGAGGGAAGACTGCGAAGGCAAAGAGAAGACAGCTACAGGGCCAGACATTCTCAGCGAGGCACGGCTGGGATCCGGGGAGGGAAAGAGGAAGGCAGGGATGAGGGGGGTGAGGGGACAGACTAGTGGGGAGCAGTTTGATTTACGGCGCTTAATTACTGCAGGGAAACTCTCTCGGGGTTTTATTTAGAATCTGGTGGCCAGTAATTAATCTTTAGCCACTGGACTATGCGCTCATTTGCAGGTACTTACGGTAGTTGAAGGCCCGCTCCGCTGTTGGAGGTTCTCCAGCGAGCTCCTTCAGATGCAGCGAACTGCCCGGCATGGGGAGAGCTGCCTAAGGACAGCCTCTCGGGCTCTGAGCCCCGCCTCCCTCTCTCCCCCGCCCGCCAGCCGGCCCGCCCCAACCTTTTCCCCTCCCTCGCCAGGCTCGGGAGCCCATCTCCACCAACTCAGCCTAGCACCTGCAGTCCTCCGAAGCCCGGAATTTCTACGCCCCTCCCAGTTTCCCGCCTCTCTCCTGACCCCGGGCAGAGGTTGCCCGAGCCAAACTCAGGCCCCTGCCCCCTGCCTGTCGCTCCGAGTTTCCTTGGGTCATGGTATCCTGGAAGGGAGAGGGCCAGATCTGAAGACAGCCAAAGCTGTAGATCCTCCTCTCCAGCTCCCCAATGCCTTTAAAGGGATCTCAGGTCTTCCTTTGCTCGTTCAATACCCCAGTGTATTCATAAACATCGCCAACATGGTTCAAATGCCTACTACACGACCCTGGGACCTCAGCATCTATTATTTCTAATCTTCACGGGAACCAAACAAGAGAAGTGTTTCTTCCCAGAACTTTACAGAGGAGGAAATCAGTCTCAGAGAGGGTTAAGTAACTTGAACAGTCTTCAAAGTCCAGCTTGGGATAAACACCCAGGCTTTAGAAACATACAAATTTAGATTTCAGTTCAGGTCCCACATTCAATAGCTGTGTGGCCTCAAGCAAGTGAGTTAAATTCTCTGAGTCCCAGTTTCCGCATCTTTAAAATAAAGAAAACAGCAAAGCCGAGTTCACAAGGATTTGGTGGGCAAATTCAAGTTAAACTGAGAGCACAAAAGGTCTGGCACATAGGAGGTTCTCAATAAATGGTGGATGCTGCTACTGTTGCTATTAATAGTAGTAATTACTGTTATTAATCTATAAAGCCTTCCTCAACTACCTTACAGCAATGTGATTTTTTTAACTACAGAACAATCTTTCACAAATTTTTGTTAAGCATGACTTTTAAAAATGATAATGCACAGAGAAGACTAACCAAAGTACTTGACACATAGTATGGGATGGCAGTAAAATATAGTATCCAATGGACTCACAGACAAACTGGTAAGAAAAATCTGCAACACAGACCAACTGGCTCAAAAACAGACAAGATTTTTCTGTATGTGAACGTGCATTTCTACCTCCATAAAAGATTATAAATTATCAAATGAAAAATCCTTTAATTCAAGAACAAACTATGTAAAAAATTAAATAACAGCTATCTTAATGGATGAATTGAACGTGAGATCTTTGTGCATCGGGTGATACCAAACATGGCATTCCCAGCTCCTATACACCGCTGTAAACTGCAGACTGTTGTGTAGAATACTCAAATGAATCTAAATATGTGTTTCTGGGCAAACTTTTTTGTTAGCCTCTGGAAGCCTCGTGTGATTATTTGTAAAATGGGGACAATAAGTGCATTTATTATCAGGCAGGGTTTTGGGTAGGACTGAATAAAACCTCCCGTATAAACCACTACATGGGGCTGGGGACACAACAAGCAGTCATTAATTCAACACTTGTTTGTTGAGTACTTTCTTTGGGGCAGGCATTGTTCTTAATGTTGAGGATTCAGAGAGGCTGATGGTTCCTCTTCTTAAAGAGTCTGTAGTCTGAGGATAAATCGTGATAGAGCATGAGTAGGAGGGAGCCAGAGCAAAAGCCTTGAGAATCAGAGGATTGCAACAGGAAAGACCAGCAAATGAAGCTCCATGGTGTGTGTTGGGAGACTTGCCCCAGTTTGCTGTTGTTACTGTGTACCTAAAGTAGGGCAGGGGTAGCAAAGAAGGAGAGGGGAACAAGAGTTTTCAAAAGATGGAGGAAGAAAAGTGGACAAACTTGACGTCTGTTTGGAACAGGACAGTGATAGTTATTATCTGTCAGAGTGGAAATATTCATGTCAATTTGCAAAACATTTACATAGAAATCGCTATGATAGCACCAGGCACTAAATGCTTTATAAATCTTAACTCCTTTAATCACCATAGCAACACTATGAAGTAGCTATCATTATCAGCCCCATTTTACAGATGAAGAAACTGAAAAGCAGCCATTAAGCAAATTGCTCAAGGTTGACACAGCCAGCAGTGGATTTCGATCTAGACAGTCTGCGTACCATGTCCCATATGCTGAGCCACTGCCCTATGCTACTTTTGCATTGGAGGCTTAGGATGACACCATTAACCTAAAAAGTATGAAAAGAGCCAAATTCATGTGTGACAGTGCTTCCGAAGATAAAAAAAAAAAAGCACCAATCAAATGCTACGAACAGTGTGGAAAGAAGGCAAGGAAGTATCCCCCAGCTTTCTGCAAGGCCAAGGGCAGAAAGCTTGTGCTCTTGGACCAGCAGGCTGAAGCTAGAGCCCAGAATGCCCCCTCTCTGGCTGAGAAAGCCTGAGAAGGTCCTGAGTTGTGTGGTGAGAATAGCACTCACTCTCTCTCGCCTTTTGCTCTGGGCCATTAAGGAGTCTTGAAGGGACTTATTATTCAGGCTTCATAGAAGCCCGTCATTCAAACTATGGTTTGCAATTGAGATGCTAGAAGCTCTGTCTCTAGGCTACTTCTGTCGGTTTTGAACCTTGCAGCCTGCAGAAAGAGAAACATTCTCTGTTCAGCTCCCTGAAGAAACCTTGAGTGGCCCAATAGTACAAAGCTAGGAATAGAGGCCAACAGCCTCTGGGGTTGGGACTCAGCTGAGATGGAGTTCTTGTCATTCACTCTGCTGGTCTTCCTCCATCAGGAATCCAGCAGGGCTGTGGCTCTGTGACTCTAAATCTCAGTTTCAACTTCTCTCTCTCTCACTCTCTCTCTCTAATATGGGCTTTTCTTCTAGCTTATTATTCTAGAGTAGCTGATACTAAACAAGTCGTTTTCTCAGGAGCTGTTTTGGGCAGGCCTTCTTTGACTCTGGATCCCCTGGTCTGGTGGGCTGGTCTGGGAGGGCCCACTCTCGCTGTTCTCCTCCGAGGTGGCAAGATGAGAAAATATTTGTGAAGCATACTCCTTGTCACTTTCAGACTGAGTACTAGGCCCGAAAGAGGGTTCCTCCCACAAAAGCTTTGGATCATCTTTTATGGATTATGACACAGCTGTTAAACCCCAGAGTTTACTGAGCTCATCCTCAATATGTTGAGGTAGGAAGTGTGGCAGAGTGTAGAAATGAGATTAAACTCACCTGTCAGATAGGGTTTCTGAGCCCAGAGACTGAGCCTAGGGAGAAGGAAAGAAAAGGTATTTTACAAAGCTTTACTGGGGATCAGAGAAGCACTAGAGGTACTTTAAGTTCAAAGGAAGGTGTGGAAGCACCAAGGGCCACAGGGTGACTTGCAGAGCCTTTGTAAAGCATGTAAGATGATGCGTTCTGGTTTTTTCCCCCCTAAATCTATCTCATAGTATCCCAAATAAGAGAAGTGCAGAGCCAAGCTGGCCTCTGCCCAGCACTGTGCTGGAGCTTGCCAGCTCTGGCTCCGGAGAGCAGAATGGGTGCAGCTCATCTTAGCCTGGCATTCAGTGACATGCAGTGGTGACTTGAAATCGGTCATAGTCAGAGACTTTTCACCACACAAGAATCAAACGCTACAAATCAGGTGCGGCTTCTCTCCCAAGGGAGCTGTTTTTAAACATTTACCAGTAACCTCCCCCCTTTCCACTTTTGTGTTTCAGGACAGCAAATATTACTGCCAAATGGGAACTTTTCTGAATACTCAAGACTTCTGATGGCTTTTACATGCTCTCAAGGTAGTTACGAGCACCTGGCTGTGGTGGTGAGCCACCAGAGGAATGTGTCAGATCCCTGAAATGTTGGGTGCATTCAAAGGTCAAAGATCGATAATAGTGTGTTCCAGCACACTTCCCCACTCTTTGGTCTGTCACAGCCACCTGCCCTGGAGGAGGTGGGTGCGGGGCAGAGGACTGAGGCACTCAGGAGGACCAAGAAAGTGGTGTTCTGCAGCAGCAAGGAGACCCAATCAGACAGGATAGGCTCTGGCAGTGACACTGGATGGGCGTTGGGGTGTTATGCTTTGGAGGTGGGGAGTGAGGAGCTGATAAAGGACACTGGGGTTGACCACAGAGTTTGTCTTTCAACTTATCCTTTGTCAAGCATTTCAATTACCAAGGGGCACTCATTGTGAGCCATAAGGCAGTAGACAAAGTCCTGCGTGATCAGGCTTCTGGATGCCTGTCACAAAGCAAATGAGCAGTGTGATTACCTAGGTCAATTTAACTTAAAGTTAATGAGTGCATAGAGAAAATGAAGTTTTGTTGTGTTCCAATCTAGCAGGGCCACAAGTTTCTATTGGGCCCATGTACCATTTGCCAACAAGGTAAACTACTGCTCCATTGGCTCCAGGTTACAATCCTCCCAGCCTCACCTACTGCCTTTTGTTTATAAGAGGAAATATGTGCATCTGAGTACATGGTGGGCAATGTGTGTGTGTGTGTGTGTGTGTGTGTATAGAGGGGGCAGAAGATAGACCTATAAAATTCATGAGGGCTCTGAGGGTTGCAGTGGCTCTGAGGATTTGATACAAGCCCTGTCAGTAGCCCCTTTGCCTGTGCTGGCTGAAGTTGGTGGCTCTGGAAGGAAAGCAGGTAGGTTGAGCCCTCTGCCTAGGGCAGGTACGCAAGCAGAGAGGGCTTCACGAGGAGTTTAGGTGGTACTCTGGCAGGATTGTTTCCAACTGCCGGTGCCGGTAAAGTTGTTTTCTGCTTCATAGCCTGACTTTCCCCCAATGTGTCAAAATTTTAGGCATTTCATGGGGGCTGGGAGGAACTTAGGAGAGAAATGCCAGGGAAGAATGTACAACTAGGTTTCTTCTATTTACTTTTAATTACATGTCGAAAGTATATGTAAGTATATAAGTCAACAATTGTGTTCTTTTACCCTATTTTTGTATTTGTATGATTAACCAATTATATAATTAAGTTAAATAGAGATGTCTAAATAGCAAGAAAAACACAAATTAGCAACTAAAAAACATGGTACTATAACATAACACACTGTTTACAATCTGTTTCTAAAAATATCAGTTTGTAGGCAATTATTTCA